CTGAGTTGGAGCCAGTGTAAGATGAAATCTCTGGTTTCATCCAGTGGTACGGAAGAGCCACGCTGCTCTGAACAAGCGCGGAAATTGACATCTTCCAGGTCGGTTAAATTGCCAAGGGGCAATTCCGCTATGCAGATAAATATAATAGCTTTACCACGTGTCTCGAACCCACAGCGCCATGGGATCCTCCTAGACAGCGTCTAAGCAGTTGATGACGCTTTTCCTGTGACTCTATTGAGTACTTCTAGCACAGGCTCAAGGAGGTGAAGTAATCTTTGGGAATACGGTAGCTTTATGGTCTGATAACTACGAGCGAAGCGACCAGAAGAGGCGGATGTGCGACTAGAGGATGGCGCAACAACAACGACGAGGTCCCAGATTGACTTATCGAGTGGCCGAGAAGGGGGCTGTAGAATCCCATACACCCAATCCACATCCTAGCATACTTACCTTAGACAGCTTGAACAGAATGCCTGATTTACTTTAAACCTCCCTGTCGTATAACGCTGTCGCTTTTTCTTCAGAAACTTAAATTTTTGCCGAGAAAATTATAATTATAATTGATTATAATTTCCACTTACCTTTTCAATAAGTTCCCGGTCTATAGGCAGATCCTCCTCATTGAGCTCCTCTTCCTCCCTGTAAAGCTACTCAGTGTTCATTAGTAGACCCCAGCGGTCCCTTAATCGGGTCCGTTGTAGGAGAGCATGAAAGTGTGCGGCAGTAAAACGTAGCCGATTCTGGTAGACAGGGAGACGCTATGTGCATAGCTGAGCGTGGGCGACACCAGAGAACGGCACTTGCTACTCTCTTTACCCTTTACTGCTATGGAGACCTACGGAAAAATTCAAGCACACGGGATCATGGTCCCTTACGATTACCACGTGCTCCACGCCCTCAAAGCTTTCTTAGCTGAAAGAACTCCCAAGAATTCGATGACATCAGTCGAAAAGTCGCCGACTTGTTCGACTTGCAGCCTTTCTATTTCTGTAGGAAGGACATGGCTCACCTGCTCAGTAGGTGGAGCTCTGCAGGGGGGGGGGGCTAATAGAGGAG